CTAACAAAACTTCAAATATTATAATATTTGTAGCCGAAGAATAACTCTTTTCAATTAACCCGAGTTTGTTAAAATCGGCTAAGCCGTTTCGAAGATACAGGGTGTTCTTTACGGAAACTTTTGAATACCCTCCACCACTTCATTTTTAGAGATACAGCAATAATTGTCAAACAAAAAAGGTTCAGATTATCGTCGACTTCAAAGACCGGGCATTTTTTTTGTTAGGTTAATATTGCGGAATTCACAGAAACATCACTTTTTAGATTCCAGATTGCAGTTACGTCCCCTAGCGGCCATTTTAGAAACTTAAAAATATTTTCCAGGTTTTTCTCGTGGCCGTTTTAGTAATACCTTTTTTACCGCAAGCCTCTACGGTGGAAAGGTTCTCAGATACAGTACCTCACATTCTTAGTTGGCCACCCTGTACACAGTATATCAATAATTACTAAGTAAAATAGCAATTTTGAAAACATACCCCACTTGTGATACAGTGTTAAAAATCTGTAGGGGTCAATCCCCTTATCTTCAATGAGAAGTGCGTGTGTAAGTAATATTGGTTGTTAAATAAAAACTTGAGTTTGATTGTGTAAAATAGCCAATTGTAAGTTTCTAAATTGTCACTCCGTATAAGGCGGTGAATATAATTATTGACTGATCTTCTATAAGGTGTTAAACCTTCCATTATTGAAATGCAATCGGGGGCCACTTTGTGGGTGTTCATCCGACATGTATAAATTATATGAATGAAGAGTTTAACCCTGAACTATCATTTGGAAAAGGACACAATTGTCATTAATACAATGGTACATATAATTTTCCTCCCTTTCTGTGTATGTACATCAAAATATTGGTAATAAAACCTTGACATATGAAACCATTCCTTGATAGGGAAAGTATAAGGATGGGTAGTCTAACAAATAGCGTGTGGAGTCACTAACTAAAACCCCAACCCTGCAGGATGCGCCACGTAAGCCTCTATCCGTTATTAATTACCTCGTTAACTATAGTTATAATATTAGAAATCTACCCCTATCGTTTACAAAATTTAAAAAAATACACTATAAAAAACCAACTACCTATAATTCAAATTTATAATTCATATTAATCACAGTTTACGCTACTTTGTGATTTAATTCGTCGTTTCCAATATTGTTTGATTGATAGCGTCTTCCTATTCGTTTCTTTGATTGCGTGACCTGTAGTAAATTACAGTAGTATGCAGATCACGCCGGATTTGAATAGAATACTATCTGAAAATATGCAAACTATACCTAAAATCGTGCCAGGTCATGGATAAGGTCAAGGACCATTTCGTTGCGAAAAAATTGGCGCACAACATTAAACAATACGTATGTACAGGGAGTGGTAAATATATAGCCATTTGTTTTGTTTCATTGACAGAAAATGCTAGACTTCTTAAGTCGCCGAGGGCAAGTAGGAGTATAGGCCAATATGGAAATGATGTACCTAATTATGATTTAATATCGATTCGAAACGGGGACGAAATGTTCCCATTCTCTCTCTCCTCCTTCACGTGAAAAGACTCATATACGTAGTTAAGTGGTGGTACACACAAGTCCACCTACAGCATGAGTCGTAAAATATTTCAGAAATATTTCCACTCATTTTAGGAAAAATACGAGTGATATTAAATCAAGGAGATGTCGTAGCATATATTTTCCTGGTGATGGCTGTAATGGTTGTGGAGAAACGGAGCGACCACTATACTTTGGTTCAATAGTAATCACTAATCACAAATCCTACTGCTTTCATGGCTAGTAGAATGAAAGATTTAAAAAAAACATCTTCAGCTTATTTGGTTGCTTGAGTAAATATTTTTTGACCGTTGGTCGTGTGTCACAGTGAACATGCAAGCATAGATGAGTAGAACGGGATGCTTGCCAAAGGAAATAAATGGTTTTAAAATTAATTAAATTTATATACCTACCACGTTTCTCAAAAAAGCAACTAAAGAATAAAATACGTCGAAGTAAAATTCCAATTTGTTGCACTGCTGGGAGTTTATTATTATTCATCCTCATTTTTAGGCTACGAGGGCGGTCAAACGACATTACACGCGTTTTGCGACCACTTTTCTCTGCCCATTCGTCCGTCCTACAGTACTTCTACTGTTACTTACCTACTTCGTTTATTAATTTATAGCAAGAAAGTTAAATGGCACCAAACTAAATTGGTTTTATTTTTTATAAGAGTGATCGATTTAGGATATTTTATTTTTACTTTAATTTTTATATTCTTTATTTTGTCGTTGATTTGTTCAACTTCCTTGTTATAAGAGTCTCTAACTTGGAATAAATTCAGTCAATCAAAGCATTTTTTTAACGATTAGTATTATAAATTGTCCTCTTAATGTAATAAAATTTTATATAGCGTGTCCCAAATTTGAGATATGACATAATCGACTATTTTTTTTACATGGCAGCATTGGCAACCCTAATTTTTTATCACTATTCTCATAAAGAGTATATCAAGTTACATACAGATGCCAAATTTTTATACAATTGTGTTAAGAGATGTCAAAATGACAAACATCGGCTCAGGGGCGGTTTTATACATCTACTCAGGGTGGGGGGGGCGAAAATAAAAAGCTACAGAATTGCAAATGCAGAGGTGCGCGGGAATTTTTTTAAGTAGCTTTGGCACAATTTCAGCTGTTGTTTTGTTAAACTATCTATTGCCGCATTAATTTCCGAATACCCAACATTCTGTACCACATTCAATTAACTTAACTTGCCAAATATTATCCCAATCCAATTTAAGCATGAACTTTAAATAAAAGCAACAAAAAGCATTTAAAGCGCCATTGTTCAAAAAAGGCAAAATAAAAATAGGCTCAAACGCTTTCATTTTTCATGAAACGTATAGATCCAAAACTAATAACCATTACATTCTGCATTCAAAATTAACGTATAAGTAAAATGCCATAAATCCACACCATATTCATTATTATGCGGCGGTAATCAGTGCTGAGTGCAGTCGTGAGTCGCAGTCTGGACATTACACGATTCCCCCCCGGCGGCATTATTTTGTATTTTATTCAATTTTACTTTTCCGTCAGGTGGTTTGTGGTTAGGTCTATTTAATTTGATTATTATGTAAACCTAATGAAATAAAAAAACAATCGAGCAGTATGTTTAGGGGGGGGGGCGGTCGCCCCCCCCCCTAAAAACCGCCCCTGCATCGGATCGACAAAAAGTGATAAACCAATACCTTTTGGCATACTACGTTAGTTAAATTTCTTCTAAATGACCAGAACTAGACATTTGAAATTTTGCACGCAGATGACATAAAAAAACGGTTTACCGTTTAAAAAAATAGTCGATTATGTCATATCTCAAATTTGGGACACGCTGTATAACATTTTATTACATTAAAAAGAACGTAATTTAAAATAGATAGACGTGTCCGAGCATATTTATGAAAAAAAAAACTTCATTGATTAAATGCATTTATTCCAAGTTGGAGACCTGCACTGTAGAATAAACGACCATTTAGTTTCTTGTGATTCAACTTCCTTATCATCAATATAGACCAAGCAAAAACCAAGGGGAATTTCAATCGCTATAACATCTCGACTATGTGTTGTACTCTTTGGCACCTAAGTTACGAAACTAAGAGTTTAAACGCCGTTAGAAAAAAAACGAGAACGTTCAGTTTTCAAAATTGTTCGAAAACGTTAAGGTTTCCAAGAGCCTATAAGGTCTAAGACCTTTTTAAAAGATGTTAAAACATGTTTACTAACCTTTAAGAGTTCCTAAAGCTCTTTTAGTAGTTTCTAAAGTGCATGATATACAGTTTTATGGAGTCTTTAATAGCACGAAGAATTTTAAAGGGCATTCAAAAACTTAAATATTATATTATATTACATTATTTTACATTATATTATATTGTTTTTGTGGGCATCAACTTCATTGGTCATTCGCCCTGTTTCTACATAGACAGTCTTTCTCTGCTATGTTGCAAAACTATCACTTTATTTCCTTTACATAATAATTTTTTTCGGGTGACAACCATCTTTGCGAAAAACTATATTCTAGTAAAATAACACAACTTTTATCATTAAAAGTGAATTTACATAATCAGTGAAGTTTAATGAAGTAATTAACGGATTTCCTTTATAATTGCAGATTCGACATTTATTTGGTGGAAGGGATTCGAACTGAGAGAGGACGCAACTGGAGCAGGATGGATTTGGGAGAATCTTTCTGATGGTAAAGTAAAACTGTTTCACACAATTTTCACTTTTTCTTCATTTGTTGTGTATCGCCTTTTTCTTTGTAACTGTTATTTTGCTTCCTATAATTGCAGATTCCTCTAATGGCTGGGTCTCGGATAGGATTGAGGTCTTTCACATTTTGTTTACTTTGTAAGTAGGAAGCAAAGAAATGGATCTTCATCTCAAAATACATTATGATTTAACCCATTTCAATAGTTACGGTTGTCTTTGAAAAGGATCTTCCTCTCAAAAGTGCTTTGTGCTTTCCGAGATTGACTCTAATAAACGAAAGTTCATATTCATTCAGAAATACCCTTTATTTCCGACACTCGATTACTTAGCACATTCAATGCCACAGTTGTCGGATGAGTGAGATGACCAAAAACCGATGCTTGCTCTAACATTTCAAAAATTATTACATGACAGTAAAATATTGTATCTAAGTTGGGTGGGGTTAAACGTAGTCCTACTAATGATCATTTTATGTGACTGCCGAAAATCAAGATCATGGAATCAAAAACGGTAAGAGGGTTGAAGAAAGCAATAGTTGAAACTACTACTGAAGAAAACAAAAGTAGAAAAAGACGGGCAGTTGACAGAGATGAAACGAACGCGTAAACTAAAAAGAGTTTTCAACTAAACCTAACAAATATGTTTATGCAAAATAATAATGTAGTTAAATTTCGTGTATTATTTTTTTTTCTATAATATGTTTTTTGGAATCCTTAGAAACCGAAAAAACCGAAATCAACTGGAAGCGAAAATTACTTAAGTCACAGTACTAAAACGGTACCGGCACTATTATTCTACCTAAGTAGTGTGGAATCGTAACCTATAATTCATATGGGTTCCAACCCCTGCTGCCAGCGCAATTATGATTTCACTTTAACCCGGCGCGCGAGCTATCATAACTTCAAACTGGGAAAATAACTATATGTTTATTATTTATTTACATTTTGAAAAGCAACAGAAGGATTTTACTGTCCTTCCAATGTATAGAACCGCATAGTTTAGTTCCACACTCTTTCCTTCAAACGAACGTTATATCCACTGACCGATCGAGTTGTAATATCGGATCTCAAAACTATATCAGGAAACTTTCCATCTGCCTCAATTTCAAACCTTTGCAAGATGTTTACCATAATTAACTTTAAAGAAGAGTAGGCAAGTTGTTTTCCTATAAACGAACGTAGTTTTAATTAGAAGAGTGAAAACTAAAAAACATTACCAACACAACTACGAGGTCCGGCGCTGAAGGGTATGTACGCGTAAGGATGGCGACTATTAACGGCGTCGGGTAAAAAATGATCAGGATGAAAATGGCTAGGATTTTCCCAATGTTTCGGATTACGATGCAAATCGAAAATTGACACGATAATTCCGCAATCTTTTGGAATCACGTAGTCATCTAGAAAAAATATCAAAATTAATTGTTATTTTGTCCGCAAGGATCTGTTTTGGGACCGTTACTTTTCACAATCTACATGTCGGTATAATACCCAGTATTAATTGAAATTTGCGTTTAGCAATTCTTCCACCACTTCATTAATTCTCAAGGTAAGCTTTTCTTTAATTACAAAAGGGGGGGGGGAGGTGGAGAATTTTCCATACTTTTTCCCGAAGACTACCATAGATACTCTGTAACTGTGCCTAATTGCTTTTCTTCCGCTAGGAAATCTGCCGGTTGGGATTAACTTTGTTTTAGGTTTACCGAAGTGACCGCCGCCATTTGCTGGATCCCACTGCCGAATTCTTGGAGCTGCTGTTTCTGCGATTGAGTTTACCCTAGAGGCTACCGACACCGATCCGCAGACCGTTGATACCGCTGACCGCGTTTAGGCGCGAGATCTTCTCCTGGTGGCGCTCGAGTCCGTTCGTCCGGCCGTTCGTTTCTTGCCGCCATTTCGCCGTCCTCTACCGCCAACACCTAGTTGCCGCCGACTACCGCTGGGTTTAGGAATTACATTATAATTTGTAAATCTATTTTTTTATATCATTAAATTTCAAGTTTTTTTACTAATTTTCTCAAGCACCCCGAATTTGCGCAAGATGCCCTAGTTCGTAATTGTAGTATAAGATTTTAAGATCCAAATCGCCTCCATTACTTTCTTACGAGATTAAGGTTTAGAACTGACGTGCATAGTTTAAATATACGTCATAGGGGATTGCTAAATGTTCCTTTCCACAATACTCACTTTTTCGGACGGGTATTTACTTATCATATCTGCTACAACAGATATTTATGGCAGATTATTGGAGAGCAAATATTGAATTAATTTCCGTGTCAAGTAGGATCAATTTACTGACGAGTTTTGTACTAAATTTTACCCGAAATCGTATTTTAATATAACATTTCACTTTTCATATAGAACTTTTGATAAATGTCAATCTGTCAGTGTTGACAGGAGTCATTATAGACATTTAGTAATGTGATAGCCGATAGGTGTGGCTAGTAAAGTGACAAGCAGCAGGAAAGGTAGTCTGGCCTGCCTCTGTCATGGAAACTGACATTTAGTAGGCATGAAAATGAAGATTTCATGACGATTTTGGGTAAATGATATTACATGATAGGGGACATGATGGATGGTTTGATCTGGGGACTTAGAACCCTCTGCGGTCAGACTCCATTGACTCGCGATCCAAGTAAAGTCGAATGACTGACAGACCAAACTTGAATCGCTGATGAGTCTTAACTTACAGACTTACTGATTCAGTTGATCTGCGGGGCCTCGTTTGGTCCTCTGTTCGTTTGTTTAACATTTGAGAGATGAGTCTCAAGAGTGGAAGGTACGAAGGTTTTGAATTCCATTTCGAGTCAGATTGGCCGATTTCAAAATAACTAAACGAGTGATCCGATTTAAGTCCGACGCACGGTCGAGCGCGGCGCGGCGAATTGCCACGCCGCGCGCAGGTACGCGTTGGCCTTGACCAATCCTGTCTGACTGTATTATATAAAAGGAATCAAAGAAAAGGAACTAGGAGCTGCAGCATATATTGTAAGACCCATACCTATTGCAAAGTCTTCATTGGCTCTTCTAGCGATAAGTGGTGCGATAGGTATTAGTCGTAGGACATCCTTAATGCACATAGCTAGATAGGGTAGGTCGGAAAGGTTATCGTATGCAATGGTCCCAGAGGTGTCAGCGTGTAGGCTACGAACTTCTTCGGCTGCGCGTTTCTGGAGAATAACAATTTCATACGTAGGATATTACAGATTTACTTCTCTTACCTGATACTGCGGATACATTCCAAGGCATACGCACAACATTGCAATAATGATAGTTAATGTGTCTTCACTCTAAAAGTGATTAAGTAGGTAATAACTTCCACTCTTGGAAAGTAATCTTTAATACCCACAGCAAGATAAAGAGTGTACATGTTGTAAACAAAATCGGTTTCGTCCATTACACTAGTGTCTTTGTCGATTACATCCGCAATTTGGTCTATAAGAGGTCTTATCCGATTCTTATCCTCTTTGGCAGTTCTAACTCTTTCAATAGCATTCGTAATGTGCTGAGAAAGGAAATAGTATTTTACATGATTACCATGGTAAAGAGGTTTTTACTGGAGACAGGAGAAGTGTACTGGTAAACCATTAGCTGAGCTTCTAATTCTCCCGTAACCTGTAAAAACTGTTAGGTACATGGCATAATGTAGAACATTTTATTTGTTACTCCGAAAGTATGATACACTGGGGTGAAAGTTTTAAAAATATCCTGTCATCCCGCGATTTTTCAAATATTGGCCATAGAAATTCACATTCTCGCTTTATTTAAAATCACCTCTGTGTTTGCCACCAAAAACGTGAAAAATAATAATAACCAATTGGCGTTTAGAAATGAGTAACCAATAAAACTGTATACAGTACTTTTACCATTTTAAATTTCTCACTTACACGTTTTATAAAGTTGTAGGAAATGCTAACTATCCGTGATTGTTCCTTTTTTCCAGACGTAAAGTTGTAAATAATATCAGGATGGTACCAAGGCTTCATTATACGTTCGTAAGCAACAGTGTAGACCCTGCAACATTGAATCACTACAAAACCAGCTCCTTGTGTAAAAATTTAAAAGTTCTGTGCAAGTTAAAGTGTACCAAAAAATGTACCCACTCTGCACTTGCATGTACGAAATCCATATTTTGTCCATACTGTGCCTTCATCTGCATACCCAGAACGATCTCTACAAACAGTAATGAATGCATTAGACTGAAAAGTGAAATTTATCTCGTAGCTGATGAAAATTAAAAAAAATTATTCGTCTGTTACTTTACAAACTAGTCTGCTCGTCTGTCCGTCTGTCCGTTACCACGATATCTCTAAATCGAATGGACCGATTACGATCAAATAAATTTTGCAGGTGGATTCTTTATCAAATTTGTAGATCGGAGTTCGTGAATTGGCATTGTAGCCCAAAAATAAGGAAGGCCCTTTTAACATCTCCGTTTGTTATGAACCAAATTGGATGAAATTCAAAATGAGTATAGCTTTAGCCATATAATACGCAATGCCAAACTAGCCACACCGTTTGCTATACTATACGATCAAAAATGAGTTACTGTCGAGTCACCTTTGGAATTTTTGTTTACATGGGAAATCGTACTTAACTTGAACTTCCAAAGGCGTCTCGACAGCAACTCATTTTTGATCGCCCGATATACATATCTACATATTTTTACATAAATATTGGATTTGAATTGTAGTAAGATTTAGTTTACTCAGTCTAGATATGTGTGCGGGTAAATCGTTGAAAAGGCAAAGATGTAGCCAATTTTCGTGTAAGAACATAAAATATCGAGGTAAACTCAATCTGCTGAATATAACGCCTTTGGATATTTAACTGGTGGACACAATTAATATTAACTTCGCCACTTATAAGCAAAGAGCTATGGTGAGTTTATACAATCATTATCATTAGTTCACTAAGCTCAGAATGGTTTTGTTGGTGATAGCAACGCGCAATGAACTTTTGTTTCTATTGGCTATTTTTTGATAGTGAACTAATGATAATGATTGTATAAACCGGCATTTAATTATAAGCCGGTATTAAATATTTAAAGACGAATAGATGGCGGTTAAAGGGATATTTTGTTTCGGTTAATCTTTAATGATAATCGGAAAATTAGTGCAGTGGAAATTAACTTTTTATTCCAACATATAAACAATAATAATTCGAGCACATTTTGGAGCTATCCACGCCAAGTTTTGAGTGCGGGCGAGATAAAACTCATCATCCGGAAATTTTCAACACAAACAGAGATAATATTACCTATATGAGGGCGAGTCTCAAGGAAGCGGTCTCACCTTGAGAACGATCCAGTTGTCACAATTTCTTGGAAAACCTTTTCAAGGGAAAACTACTAGGTACTTCTTGGTAACTTAGCGAGACATGAGTTCTGTCAGTATCTGTAAGTGTGTAAGAAATTTAAGTAAGGGAAGTTAGAATTGATACGTGATGATAGGCGTTAGGCGTTATACTCGTATCTTTATAGGATCTGAGGAAAATTAACATTGAAATACAAATTTTGGAACATTTAGGGGTTTTTTGGTCCTCTCTACCACCATATTTTTTATATACTTAATTGTCACACCATGTATACCAGCTCTTAATAATGAAGTGTAGTTAAGTAACAATAGGATTTAAAATATTTTGCTTCAACTCACCACCAATAATATCAGCACAGCACAAATGGATTGCTTCATGTATATCAAAGGTGCATTTTCCACAACGTGAAGAGAGTTTTTCCAAGAAAATGTTGATATGCTTTTGAAACGTGTCCATGTTCCCCAATATGAATTTTGTATTTATCATTCGCTGAATAATTTTTCTATATCGTTTGTGTTTCTCTCCTACAACAATGTCAATATAGTGACAATCTGTGATATAAGAAAATCACATTTTACCTGAGCTCGATACTAATCCCTCTCCAATATATATTTTGATGAAGTCGTATAACTCGTGCTTATGGGACAACTTGGTGGATAATAAAATTTTCTAAAACACATAAAAATATGATGATTTTCTTGAAACTTTCCACGGGGCAGTTAATCCACTTTTATTGTGCTTTATGACTCAGTAACCTCACTGACCCTATTCACGTGCCAACACCTACACCCGTGAGCTACATACAGGCGGATTTATCTGCACACATAATACGGACAAATTTTGATAGATGAGCAGCAAATCATCCCATAATACTGTGGTGATACTAATGGTTATTTGCCAGCCTGTTAAAAACTTTTCCTTTTCTAAGATTCTATGTCGGGGAAACAAATCCGTATTTGTCGGGCTCGCAGTGTGTGCTCGTCATCTTGGATTATATATTAAAAACCCTTTCTAACACTACGCTATATACAAGTCCTACCACCAATATACAAGGGCGCACTGGAAAGTATTTAAAAAAAATTGGGAGGTGTAGGAAACCAAATCTTGGTTACATTTCCGCTTAGGGATGCGCCATCTTGTAAACATTTTGAAACATTTACACAAAATCAGAAAAGGTGTACCCAAAAACCTATGTAAAGCTTATAGCTTTAACCTTCTATGAACGAAACGTTCTGGTCCTTGGAAAAATGTTTGTTTTAGTCCCCTCCATTTCCCACTTTTTATATGGTTATATGCTAATGCTAATGTTCACTACCTATCACAATTGATGCACTAAATAGTGTACCTACCTCCACATGTTCCGGATGAGAAAATAAAAGTAATAGGTGTGGTCCAAGCCAAAACCTTGTAGGGCCTGTATATGTGCTTATTATCTTACTTATTACTCCTAAAAAATCTGTAACTGCGATTAGATATATCTATCAGCGCACCTCTTAAACTTACCTTCTTGTTTATGTAAGAACGATAAACCATTTCCTACTAAAGGTAGTGCAGGGGGGCCTTCTAATTTCATAGAGATCTTATACAAATGTCGACGTTTCCAATGATATTGAAACAAGAGGAATAGTGCCAGGACCGCAAAAAGTATTATACCGATCCCCATCTGTAAGAACATAGCGGTTATTATACTATACAGGGTGGTGACTTGCGTAACGCATCATAGGGATTTCAATGTAAAATTCATAACATGCGATTATTGGCTCCCCAAATTATTTTAGAGCAAAAATGTATTGTTTTTTGTAGAAAAAAATTTTTTACGTCAATCAACCGCATTACTTTTCAATTTTTTGCATAATAAAGACGGAAAATTGGAAAAATAAAACCCGCACCTTTGCAATAATCTGTGATGCCATGGAACTTTATAATACAAAAACTACGCTAATATCCGTCATGCCATGGAACGTTAGCTATAAAACAAATCAAATTCTATCAAAAGTATTATATTTAGAACAGCGAATTCAACATAAAGAAAGACCAAATTACTAAAAACGGTATATAACAATTTACAATAAATGTTCGAATAAGTCACCATTAACTCCAAGACAGTAACCATAAAATTCATATTGAACTGCTGCTAATTGATAACTGGATATCTTTTTGTTTTAGAAAATTCCATGGCATCACAGATGATTGAAAAAGATGCGGGTTTTATTTTTCCAATTTTCCGTCTTTATTATGCAAAAAATTGAAAAGTAATGCGGTTGATTGACGTAAAAATTTTTTTTCTACAAAAAACCTTAATACATTTTTGCTCAAAAATAATTTGGGGAGCCAATAATCGCATGTTATGAACTTTACATTGAAATCCCTATGATGCGTTACGCAAGTCACCACCCTGTATACTATTACCTTCACTATCCGTAAAATTTAGGTACAGGAACCGACAACTAAGGAGGCGAGAGCGGGCGATTCGCAGATGAGTAATTTAGAGTCTGCAGGAGCAACCTATGAAATATGAATCGTGGGGATGCGTCATCTCTAGCTTTTTTAGAGGCCGGTTCCTGTAGTAAATTTTATTCTTCAAAGCTCAATAGCTTCTTCTGCATTATGGACAGACGGATTGACGCGGTCGCGTTTTTGATTTGAAAATTGGGCTGGTCTTCGACAAGAAAATTCAAACATCAAAAAGAATTTTCGGTGATCTAATGCCACAATAACCCTATTCACTACACTCTTTTTCAAGTTTAGTGTCAACAAAGCATCGAATCATTTTGTGTACACGACTGCTGCAGATGGACTGCATTTTCATAATTTATTAATATTTACCGATAGAAACTTTAAACCTGCACATTGATTGTCTTCCTTAAACATATATCCATCCGCACCTTGTAAAATTTATTTGATTCCACTATTGATCCTTTATTTTGACAAAAATAATATGTCAATAGTTCAATACTCAAACATCCCTCATGGCATATTTTAATAAATATACACAAAATAGTCAGAATGAACCAAATGAAAATCAAAAGAGGAGAAGTTGTACATACCTCAATTTCTACCGAAACAACTGTTAAGGAGGTTGAAGCAAAACTTGCCGTTTGTATTACTAGAACCAGTACAAGGAAATCTACTAGGAGATGCGTGATGCAATTTAAAACGAGGTACGTAGGTAAGTACTTTTAGTGCAAGAAATGGTGACCTCAATTAGATTACGAACGTAACTTGTTCTATTATAATAAATTATTTACGTTTGTAGATTTATTTTTTTACTTATAAACAATGCATGAATCTACCAAAAACCCGTTTCGGTAGAATACGTGGTGGAACCATATTAAACCATAAACCATAAAGCACTGGAAAAACTACGCTCCTGACCCGATTGGGGATCAGGCACAGATTTTTCCTCGGTTTGCCGAAAAATAAAAGTTAACAGTTTAAAAAGGAGATATTTAATCAATAATCTCCAATTAAATATCGAAAATAATTTTTATACTTGCTCCTCAACCGACCCCCAAAATAAATCCATGTTGGGTTATAATAAGTTTTTAAAACTATACACTATCCGGCGTAGAAAGAAAGTGAGTGAGCCAAAAAGATGCTAATACTGTATGGGATCCTTTTTTAGGGCATTTTTGCAAATTTATTTGTAAAAAGGTAGCTTTTTATCTTCCTTTGATCGGCTGGCTGGCAAGCTGGCAGCAAATGCGGGCCCGTAGAAGAACGTTTGTGGAAAGACGAGGAGTGCAGGTACATATTGTACCTACCGGGGCCGTGTAATTATTAATTTTAGGGACGGCGCTGCACGATGTGCGACATCTGGGGGACATCTACGAACGTGGTGTACTAACCTACAGATATTTCAATTTTTTCCAATCTTCTTCAAAGATCGATTGTTTTCAAATTGGTGTCATCCAAAACATTTCGTAAACGCGCACAACTCCTGCGTGGCGGAATTTTGTTTTTTTCATAGGGATTAAATTAACCACCTTTTGCAAGACGCGCATCTTCTAGGAGTAGTCAACTTCAGGCGGCCAAGAAGTATCTTGCGCTGCGAATTGTCACGCGGTTTAAGGTTTCTTAAAGCTCGAATTTTTTGAGGTGAGACTATATTAACCGTTAGGATTAATAAGGGGGGGGGGGGATTTGTTTCTTCCTCTGCATCCTCCTCGTTTAGAGAGTTAATTACTTATCGTTCCCGTTCTGTGAATTTGTCGTCCGTAATTCTGTTGTAGATTACCTTCAGTATTTACCTTACCTTTTTCGGAGCACTGGATTAACCGATTTCTCCGATGAAGCACCTGTAGCAGCCGTAACCGTCCCGTGATTTTCATTCCGCCGTCTTTGTCCAGAAGCGAGGATTTTTGTTTACCTTCTGGTGGCACCCGAAGTTCCGTATACGGATTCCACCGTTTTAAGCACCTTTTAATTTTGTCAGTACCTATTACCGTTTTTATGTTTTTGACTCAACAAGCAATTAAATATTTGCTCTTGACCGGAAAGTTGGTCGCAATAATATAGGTACATTTTTTAGCGATTTTTTTAAGAATTAAAAAAATGTGCTATTGTTTGCGTTTTGTCCGTCCGTCCGTCCGGACCTACTTCTACCGTTTTGAACTACTTCTAGGGGAATGGTCCTAGAGTCCTGGAATTTTTTGCAGTAGGTAGCCTATAACTTGAAGGTGGTCCAGACGAATCCCCCCACGAATTATTTCCTGAGATGCTGTTTTCGAAAGTAAAACGTGCATAGCTTTTACATACGACAACCAATTGGTATCAGATTTTGCATTAGTGGTGCCAAGTTGACACATGTTCTACCCTTCATCGTATTCTAATGAAAGGTCTCATCGAAATAAATTGGTTTGTACAAATTATAACTTACCCGTGCGACCAGGGGGTAAACACCTGGGGAAGTAATTGTACAGAATGGAGAAAGTACGGGGAAGTTCGGGGAAGTACGGGGAAGTATATGGGAAGTAAAGAAGAAGTAGGTACTCATTTGTTTATAAGATGCGAAATGTGACAGAAGGTGCACAGAGAGGTAAAATCTGGTAAACACTTGAAAAGTAATAAGGCAGTTATTTCTGAATGCATAAATTCCGCCTTGTCCCAAAAAAATCAACACCATTATTATCTATATAGATACCTAAAATAAAAGCCTATTCTTTCACTACTAGCGTCTGATATAAATTATTAACCTTTTTTCCACTTGTAAAGCAGGCTCTCTCGCCCGTTTTTCAAAGTAAGTAGTTAATAATGTGGTAATTATTAACTAGTAGTCAATAATGAGAACTGTCACGCTGCCACTTTTAGAGAACACAACCCCAAATTTCGCTCAATAAACGTTTGGACAAGTACTCTAAAATGAATAATTGCAACTATCCGTCATTTTCAGAGAAATTACATACTTAAAATTATCACAATTTGAAAAAATTCGAACAAAATTACTCTTTGAAAATATCTCAATAACAAAATACGGCCTTCTTGACTGTTACTTCCACGCACTTAATTGACATGTTAAATTAATAAACCAAAAATTCTGTCTAACCGTTCATTTTTTTAACAATATAAACCTGTTCATTTAGAGGACTTCAAGTACTATGCGATCAAAAATGAGTTGCTGTTGAGTCACCTTTGGAATGTTTGTTTACATGATAAATCCTACAACTTGAATTTCCAAAGGCGACTCGACAGTAACTAATTTTTGATCGCTCGTTACTAGTAATGAAAAAAGTAGATACTATACAGGATGTCTTAAATTGAGTAGATAACATGGCCATCTTTGTTATTATTATACTTACAGATTTAGTTAAATTGGAAAAGTTTTATAGTTTTTGATGCTAATGGATATTCCGATGCGAGATTTTGAAAAAATAAATCGTTTCGTAAATAATTGATAAAAAATGAAAAATCGCCATATTAAAAAATTCAAATATTTTAGAAACAAACAGAGCTATCGAAAAAAG